GTTGGTGGGGTGGATGGCAACGCAGTCGTGTGTAAACAGGGTGAAGAGAGCTGGGCTGAGAACACAGCCCTGCGGTGTGCCTGTGTTGAGGACCAGTGGGGACGATGTTGAGCCACCTATTCTCACCACCTGAGGCCTGTTGGTGAGGAAGTCTCTGATCCAGTGGCACAGTGAAGCAGGCAGCCCCACCTTGAGTAGCTTCAGCACCAGCTTGTCTAGGATGACGGTGTTAAATGCTGAGCTGAAGTCTACAAATAGCATCCTGACGTAGGTGTTGGGTCAGGGCTGTGTGCAGAGTGATGGAGACAGCATCCTCTGTTGACCGGTTCGCTCTGTAGGCGAACTGGAGGCTGTCCAGGTCTGCAGGGATGAAGTGTCTGATGTACCTCAGAAGAATCCTCTCAAAGCACTTCATGATCACCGGGGTCAGAGCGACGGGCCGGTAATCGTTCAGGCTGGTGATGGTCGTCTTCTTCGGTACAGGGATGATGGTGGAAGACTTGAGACACTCAGGAACCATGGTGAACTGCAGGGACAGATTGAAAATGTCCAGAAACACTCCTGCCAGCTGGTCGGCGCACGTTTTCAGCGTCTGGCCTGACACCTTGTCCGGTCCTGTAGCTTTGCGGGTGTCGATCCTCCTCAGGGTGGACGTCACCTGGTGCTGCTGCAGGACGAGAGGCTGGTACTGCTCTTCCAGTCGGGGTAGATGTACAGCTTCTCTGCTGCCCACTGTGTCAAAGCGGGCAAAGAAGCTGTTTAAGGTGTCAGGCAGGGTGGGGTCGCGGCTGGTCAGCTGAGTGCTGTGTTTGTAGTCTGTCATGGTCCTGATGCCTCCACATGCTTCGGGGGTTGTTGTTGATGAAGTGTTCCTCAATCCGCTGTTTGTACTGGAGCTTGGCCTGCTTAATTCCTTTTTTCAGTTCCGACCGGGCCCTGCTATAAGCCAACCTGTCTCCAGATCTGTAGGCAGCATCCCGGGCTTTCAGCAGGGCCCATACTGTGCTGTCCACCCATGGTTTCTGGTTTGGAAACACTTTTATGGTCTTAACAGGGAGGACAGCATCGGTGCAGAACTGAATATAGGACAGAACGGACGATGAGTATTCCTCCAAGTCTGCTCCGTCCCTGAACACACTCCAGTCTGTGTGCTCAAAGCAGTCCTGAAGTGAGAGGAGGCCTCCTCAGTCCAGACCTGAACTATTCTGGTGGTCGGCTTAGTTCTGCAGGCCAGAGGCTTGTAGACAGGAATCAGCTCCACTGAGATGTGGTCAGACATGCCCAGATGTGGACCTGCTACAGCCTTGTAGGCTCCGGGGGTATTGCAGTAAACCTGATCCAAAATGTTATTGTTTCTGGTGGGAAAGTTTATGAACTTGTGGAATTTGGGAAACACAGCCTTCAGTTCCACGTGGTTAAAGTCCCCCGCCACAATCATGGCCGCCTCCGGGTTGGAGTTCATCTGCCCGCTGATCAGGCAGTATAGCTCCTCTAATGCTAACTTAGCATTAGCCCGCGGTGGTATGTAGACGGCCACGATCACAATGGACGAGAGTTCTCTCACCAACTTGAAGGGTCTGCATTTCACCGCCAGATATTCCAAGTCAGGAGAGCAGAATGTGCCGACAGAGTGTGGCTGTACACCAGGCATTGTGTACATACAGTGCCAAACCTCCGCCTCTGCTCTTACCCGAAGCTGCCGTCTGATCCGCCCGGAACAGAGCGCGCCCCGTTATCTCCACCGCTATCTCAAGGATCACTGATGCTGAGTTGTAGATCAGCTCATTGGTTTCTGTTATGGTGTTGGTAGGGATCGTTCTCAATGCTGCATTCACATTCTCAATGAGACTTTCTGATGGTACTTCACTCAGCCATTGTAATTGGCGCCGAGGAGGTCTGGTTGTCATTCGGGTCATGATTCTCTCTCTCAGGTCAGCAGCTGTCTCGTTCAGCTCTGTTTCGCTCATTGGGGACGTGTCCCCTCACTGGGTGGGGACTTGTAGTTAAGTCCCCAAAGTTCTGACATCCGGTTCCTCCCTTTTGCCATAGCATTTGTGTTGTATCTCGTCAATCTCAAGTTGTGATAGCAGTTGCCGTTTGCGGATGTTGGAACACTAATGTTCAGCGCTTAGTGTTGACTGGGGATGTCGAAGTAACCATTTCTTCTCCAGTCTTTGCATGTAACCTCTCTGACTAGGGTTACTTGAGTAGTAGCATTCCAACAGATCCACATTTTCATCTCTCACCCATTTCCGTCTTGTTCCAGTAGCCCATTTGTCATCAAGGTGCTCTAGTTCCCCAACACCTGACGCAGACCTTATATATATATAATAATTCCCTTCTCACCCACCGCGGGTGGTTCTTATCCTCTAAGCTCCCTTCCTCTACCAGAGGCCTGGGAGCTTGAGGGTTCTGCGCAGTATCTTGGCTGTGCCAAGGACTGCACATTTCTGGACTGAGATGTCTGATGTTGTTCCTGGGATCTGTTGTAGCCACTGCTCCAGTTTGGGGGTTACTGCCCCGAGGGCCCCGATGACCACAGGCATATATATATATATATATATATATATATATATAATATATATATATATATATATATATATATATACAGACCAAAGGTTTGGACAAAACCTTCTCATTCAATGGGTTTCCTTTATTTTCATGACTATTTATAAGGCAAGAAAGCCACTTATTAACCTGACTGGGCACACCTCTGAAGTGAAAACCATTTAAAGTGACTACCTCTTGAAGCTCATCAAGAGAATGCAGAGTGTGTGCAAAGCACTAATCACAGCAAAATCTTACTACATTGAAGAAACTACAATATAAGGCATATTTTCAGTTGTTTTACACTTTTTTGTTTAGTACATATTTCCACATGTCTTAATTCATAGTTTGATGCCTTTAGTGTGAATCTACAATGTCATAGTCATGAAAATAAAGGAAACTCATTGAATGAAAAGGTGTGTCCAAACTTTTGGTCTGTACTGTATATATATACCAACTTTATTTATACTATCTATGGTCTATATCAGGGGTGTGCAAACATTTTGAGATCAATATCTATTTTTTCTCTCACCAGCTGGCTATGATCTACCTCATGACAAGAAGTCATAGAATTTGTAAATTAAACCCTTTTGACTCATTTTCTGTACAAATATATATCAGTTATATCAAAAATGATATAAGAAACTCTCACTGAGTTTCTTCCTCAGTGACACTGGGAGCCAGTTACAGGTTTCTCAGTCAGAAGCTGGTTGCAAACCTGAGGCCAGCAGGTGTCAGTCAGTTATGATCGATCTGAAATTTGGTTTGATGACATCAATATAAAAAATTACAAACTGATAGGAGGAACCAAAGAGCACTGTAAAGGTAAAGGCAAATCTTCTGAATATGGGATATATTTAATTTCACATAATTATCGGTAGAAGCCATTCGCTGTTAGGAAATGTGTTTTTGTTGTTCTCCTTCTGGCCTCCCTTCCGCCTGGTTTAATTAGTGCAGGTGTTTTGTGTTTGCAATCATGTGTTTAGCCGATTTACGTTCAGTAGTATCCCTAGTGTTTGTGGAATTCTCGTCAAACCTGGGTTCGAGTGTCGAGTGGAGCATTACCTGAGTTGTGAAAATAACTGGCCTCTCTCCGCGTCTTCCATGATGACAGCTCATGACAATTTGTTTAAAATTTAAAGAAATATATTTGCCCTGTTTGATGTTGAATGTGACATTGACATTTACTGCAAACAAAACGAGGTAATTAGTCCAAGTTTGTTGTTCATTGAACGTTCAGAAACTACAACGGCTGTAATGAATCACAGCAACGGTAAACAAAGGTGAAACAACACAAATAGGTGATCAACTCAAAACCACTTGCACCTTTTTACTCCCCGTCTCTCTTTAACGTTTAAGCACACCCGTTGCCGTGGCAACCACCTTCACCCCACAAGCCAAGCAAAGTTTACATTAAAAACATAACGTTCAGTTTGTTACATCAGGTTTCCAGGCTGGATATTTAATTCTCAATTATTAATAAGCCACACAGATGTGGTTGATTAGATCAATTTAAACTCCTGTCGGTCTTTGAGTCCCTTTTTTTTTAATGGATATGAAACGCCCATAATTGTGCAACATAGTTAATACAATATAGTTAAAACAATAATTACTCATTGTAATTTTAACATGTTTTGTTGATTTTTTTAAAAAAATCATTATTTTGTAATGAAGTTACAAACATTTTGGATCTTGGTGAATATGTTTGATAAGCCTGTCAGAAGAGGAAGTTCTGGTCTCAGCGTCCTGGCGGTATTCAATTTGTCACCTATTGCATAGACTCATAACCTTCCCGTGATCGATTGTATTGAGCACCCCTGGTATAGATGAATGGAATATCTACCAATGGTAGATCTCCCACCTACCATTCAGTAGATGGTATATCTGTACTATCTACTGAACATACCAGCATGTCATATTACCGAATGTGACATGCTGATTTTACAGTAATTGCTACACTATCACTTACTGACCTTCACATTTTTTTCTATTTTAATAGTTTTAAATTAAGGTGAAGTAGGCAGAAATAAAGGCTAAATATAGGCTGCATGTGAGTTTTACAATATATTGATCCAAAATTGACATTGACAGCAGTTGAATAATAACTCTAGAAGGGTCTGATTGGTTGTTTCTGACCTTTGGTCTCTTTTTAGAAAGCAATCTACTTCGACACTGCCTGGTCCTCCTGGTGTGACTTTTAAGAATGTACCCACTAATTCATAACACACTTTTCTCAGTTTTGTAATTAATCTCTTGAAGGTTTAATTATTACCCAGTGGAGTTGAGCTGAACTATCAGTATTTATGTCAACAGTACACAGTACAGGAGAATAATTCCAAATTATTTTCTGTTGTAAGGCTGAAAGGCAAATATGGGCCTGCAATACTATGAGCCCTATCTATTCACTCACAATATTCTATTGTTTTTTGTTCTAGCATGCTTGTTTGGCTTACTTTATGGTTAACAGCTGGCTGGCAGTCCTCCAGTCTCACCCCAAAGGCTTTCAGACAGCCTGGTTTCTTTGTTTTCTTCATAAGGTTGATACCCCACAGGGCCTTGTTGTCATCTGAAAACACAAACAAATATTCTATCAAATATTTTTGCTTTTTGGACAACAGCTCATGGTCTGCAACAATTTGTCAAAGTATTTAAACCAGGGGTGTCAACGTCCAGTTCTCGAGGGCCGGTGTCCTGCAACTTTTAGATGTACCTTTGCTGCACCACACCTGACTAGAATAATTAGGTGATTAGCAAGGCTCTGGAGAGCTTATCTACACAAGGAGGAGGTAATTAAGCCATTTCATTCCTGTCTTTTGTACCTTTGGCACATCAAAAAACTGCAGGACAGTGGCCCTCGAGGACTGGAGTTTGACACCCCTGATTTAAACTGCATAAAACCCAGGTAATTACTGACTACCACTGCTTTGCCTCTAGTTTTGTTATTGAAAGCTGACACCCACCAGCTCTTGAAGTTCGGTTCTCTGAAGTATTGTCTGTTTTAGCCAGGAGGAAGTCAGGCACCATGGAATGGGCTCCTGGAGAGGAATCTGGCTTGTTGTCAGTCAGGCTACAAACAGGACAGAAACAAAAGCACACAGTGTCATTCTAAGTGATGACATCTGACATGTCTCTGTTGGGTTCCGGGCTTTCTGTAGTTTTCCTTTTTTTCTCTCTACTCGTTGTTTTCTTTGTTTTGGTCCTACTGATGGCTTCACTTGTTGTCCACCAGACAGCACCAGAGGCTGTCTACCTGGAGAGGCGTACCTGTGGTTCTGGACACCTGTCAGTTATCATTTCATAATCTTCTGGAGGTGAAAAGAAGCGGACTGCCAGCACTTCGACACCTGAGTGTTTCGCCAGCATGGTACACTGAGCCCCTCGAAGCTAGCCTCTGAGTTTTCTCTGAGTAATTCTTTGTTGTCCTCTGTGCTCTACAGGTGTTTTTTCTTGTGTTGTTTTTTTTTTTTTGGATCCTCCCTGAGAGACTCCCGCTGTCGCTTTTGGATTAAGCCTTTCTCATGATGCCGTGGATGTTACCCACTGGTTGCCAAGTCCCACTTCCACCTTTCCTGTCGGATTTCAAGATTCTCCAGTTTTCTCCCACTGGCAGTCGGACCGCTTCCTCCGTCACTGTCAAACCTGAACTTACCTGTCCACCCTCCACCGCAGCCTCCAGGCCACTGGACCCCGCTCAGCCCTGCCGCACTTCTGAAACCTGAATCAAACGAGTATTGTTCAGCCGAACACAACCCGGAACCTGCAATCGAAACCCCCCAAAACCAAGATCATCTCTGCCAAAAGTAAGAACAGATTTATTCCTCTCGCAATTCCCGTTTCCCATTTTTCTTGAAATCGTCAACTCTTCTCACTGTTCCGTAGTGAGCCGCCATCTTCAAGAATTCCCCCCACCTGGATCTTCAAGAATTCCCCCCACCTGGAACCAAACCACTCCATTATTTTTCTTAATTTTTTAACTGATTCTCTGTCTCCTTTGGTGTTCTACATGTGGGCTAGAAACCCAAACCCAAACATGACAGAACACTCAGGCCCACTGGCAAGCCCCGCAGATGCCATCAGAAGAACACTGACAGAACAACATTCATTACTTCAGGCTCATGAGTTAGTCGAGACTAACCAGCGCCTAACTGAACAAATGAATTTTCTACAGAAATCTACTCTGCAGGCTTTGCCTCCAGATCTCATGCCTGTTCCATTCTGTCCGAGTACCACAATTTAGCTTCAATCTTCAGTAAATAGAAAGCTCTCTCTACCACTTCACATCCCAATTGATTTTCTCCCCAGAGCACAATTGATTTTCTCCCCAGAGCACCGCTACGAACCTACTAGCCGCCTATATAACATCTCCCAACCCGAATGAGAAACTATGGAGAATTATATCAAGGACTCTTTAGCCGCGAGTTCCCTAACGCCGACGGAGGAGAAGATTAAGGCAGTGTTGGAATGGCCAACCCTTGAGACACGAAAACATTAGCAAAGATTCCTCGGATTTGTTCATTTCTATTCCTGCTTTATCCACAACCACAGCCAGACAGCCTTACTCTTAACAGCCCTCACTTTGACTAAGACCACTTTCAGTTGGACCCTGGAGGTGGATGCAGCTTTTAAGAAACTAAAGACTCTTTTTTCCAATGCACCTGTGCTAATCCAACCCAACCCTCAGGAAGAAGTTTATAGTTGAAGTTGACGCATCAGACACCAGCGTGGAAGCCGTTCTTTCCCAAGTTTCTGAGACGGATAATAAAACTAATCCCTGTGCATTTTTTCCCTGCAGATTGTCTCCCCCAGAACGAAACTATGATGTGGGAGACCAGGAGTTTCTGGCCATAAAATTAGTCTTAGAGGAGTAGCGGCACTGGTTGGAGAGCACTGAACATCCCGTGCTGGTTTGGACAGACCACAAGAACCTGTAGTATCTACATTCATGGCAAAAAGTATTGAGAATGACACAAATGTTATATTTTCTCATGATCTGCTACTCTCTGGTTTTCATGTGTGTATGTCAGATGTTGTCATCACATACATAAATACAATTGCAATCATATCATGAGTAACAAAAGCTCTTATTGACAGTTTGAATGAGTTAATGCAGCAAGTTAATATTTCCAGTGTTGACCCCTCTTCTTCAGGACCTCTGCAACTCTCCCTGGCATGCTCTCAATCAACTTCTGGACCAAATCCTGACTGATAGAAGTAAATTCTTGCACAATCAATGCTTGCATTTTGTCAGAATTCTTAGGTTTTCGTTTGTCCACCCGTCTCTTGATGATTGACCACAAGTTTTCAATGGGATTAAGATCAGGGGAGTTTCCAGGCCATGGGCCTAAAATCTCTATGTTTTGTTCCCTGAGCCAGTTAGATATAACCTTTGCTTTATGGCAGCATGATGGAGCCATCATGCTGGAAAAGTCATTGTTCATCACCAAACTGCTCTTGGATGGTTGGGAGAAGTTGCTCTCGGAGGGCATTCTGGTACCATTCTTTATTCATGGATGTGTTTTTAGGTAAGACTGTGAGAGAGCCGACTCCCTTAGCTGAGAAGCAACCCCACACATGAATGGTTTCAGGATGCTTTACAGTTGGCATGAGACAAGACTGGTGGTAGCGCTCACCTCGTCTTCTCCGAACAAGCCGTTTTCCAGATGTTCCAAACAATCGGAAAGGGGATTCATCAGAGAAAATGACTTTACCCCAGTCCTCAGCAGTCCTGTACCTTTTGCAGAATATCAGTCTGTCCCTGATGTTTTTCCTGGAGAAAAGTGGCTTCTTTGCTGCCCTCCTTAAGACCAGGCCTTGCTCCAAGAGTCTCTGCCTCACAGTGTGTGCAGATGCACTCACACCTGCCTGCTGCCATTCCTGAGCAAGCTCTGCACTGCTGGTAGCCCGATCCCACAGCTGAAACACTTTTAAGAGATGGTCCTGGTGCTTGCTGGTCTTTGAGAGAGGTTCCATTAAAGCCTTTTTGGCAACAATGGAACCTCTCTCCATGAAGTTCTTGATGATGCAATAGATTGTTGACTGAGGTGCAATCTTTCTAGTTGTGATTCTATTTCCTGTTAGGCCATTTTTGTGCAGTGCAATGATGACTGCACATGTTTCTTTAGAGATAACCATGGTTCACAGAAGGGAAACAATGATGCCAAGCATCAGCCTCTTTTCAAAATGTCCAGTGGTGTCTTTCTTACTTAATCATGACAGATTGATCTCCAGCCCTGTCCTCATCACCACCCACACCTGTGTTAATGGAGCAATCACTGAAACGATGTTAGTGGTCCTTTTAAGGCAGGGCTGCAATGAAGTTGAAATGTGTTTTGGGGAATAAAGTTCATTGTCTCTGCAAATATTGACTTTGCAATTAATTGCTGTTACACTGATCACTCTTTATAACATTCTGGAGTATATGCAAATTGCTGTTATAAAAACTGAAGCAGTAGACTTTGTAAATATTGACATTTGAATCATTCTCAAAACTTTTGGCCATGACTGCACAATCCGCTATAATCCCGTTGGTCTCTCTTCTTTTCCAGAATTAACCTGTGCATTTCTTACCGCCCAGGTTCCCGTAACATAGAACCTGATACCCTATCTTGCCTATATTCCCCAGATGATTCAGAGAAGAATCCTGCCACCATTTTGTCTCCAAGTTGCACTGTTGTTGCGGTTACTTGGGAAATAGAAGATCTCATCAAGCAGGCACAGCAATCTGAACCAGTCCCTGACTCCTGTCTGCCACATAAGATCTATATTCCATCAACTGTTTGAGCCTGCTTTATTCAATGGATTCACTCATCCAGATTTTCCAGACACCCAGGTATCAGTTGCACCATTGCCCTTATAAACCGCAGATTCTGGTGGCCATCCATTCATAAAGATGTTAAGGATTTTGTTCCAGCCTGTACTATCTGCTCCAGAAATAAACCATCCTCCTCCAACCATTACCCATTCCCAAACGACCCTGGTCCCACATTTCCATCAATTTTGATACTGGCTTGCCCATGTTTTGACCACCATTTTCACTGATATTGACCGTTTCTCCAAAGCTTGTCATCTGATTCCACTCAGGAAACAACCCACAACTTTCTAGACTGCTCATCAAACATGTTTTTCGTCTCCACAGTATCCCACACGAAATCTTATCAGATTGAGGACCTCAATTCGTCTTTCAGATATGGAAGAACTTCTGCTCAGCACTTGGCGTGAAGGTGATGTTTACCTATGGTTTTCTCCCACAGACTAATTGTTGGATCTATTACCAAGCACTCTTGCTGTACATTAATAAGGACACAGGGAGACGGTTAAATTTTCTTATGCAATCTTCCAGTTGAACAGAGAACTCTGCCCAGAGACATCCCGTTGTCTCTGTCTCCAGACCAGTTCTAACGTGCTTCTCTGCAACTGCATATTTTATTACATTGAGGCGTAGCTTAATTACAAACATTTGCATAGAAGGAGTGGCAAACACAATACACATTCTCAAGGTACTGTCTTTGCATCTCCCAAGGTCACAGTTGTTTGTTGTCCATAAAACTAGAGTTTCTTGGGACATCTAGCCTTTGATCCACTCTCTGGCTAGGTGTCAACTCTTTCCCTCTGGTTGGCACCTGTGGTCCCCTTGTCCCCCTCTGGGGGACGGGAACTGAATCAGCAAAGTTCAGTTCCAGAGACAGCAATGTTCAGACTCTGGGTTGTATGCAAACAAACCATTCTTCCTACCAGGCTAAGTGTCACCCTGGCCATCCGTCTCCAAAGTGACAGACTCATTGCTTCAAAGATGAAAGAAATACAGATCCCACGGGCAAACAAAGGTTTATCAACCTGTATAGTCTCCTAATCTTGAATATTTATATTTGTATTTATCTAAAAACCTAACACTAATGGACAAACAGGACATATTAACCAGGAGCTGGAGTCTACCGGCAATTGCTTCACTTCCACCAATCCCTCAGACTGGAGTCAATTTCTTCCCTGGGTGGAATACGCTCATAATTCTCATGTATATGCTGCTACTGGTCTCCTTTTGAAGCATATTTGGTTATCGACCACCATTACGCTCCACTGAAGAAAGCAACATTGCCGTAACCTCAGTTCAACACACATCTGCTGCTGTCAGAACATCTGGAGAACCAACATCAATGCTCTCAACAACACTGTCGAACAAGCACCTAGCACCTAGCAGATGTTATGTGCTAGGTGGACTATTCTGTCCACTGGATTGTAAATTCCCATCAGCAGGGTTGCAGGTGGCGATACTTCATCAACTGGGAGGGCTACAGACCGGAGGACCGTTCCTGGGTCCTTGGATCCTTTATCCTTGATCCTTTGCTTATTGACAATTACCGTTCGTCGCTCCCTTCCAGTTCTTCTCGGCCGCCAGGTGGCAACCATTGAGGGTGGGTACTGTTGGGTTCCAGGCTTTCTGTAGTTTTTCTTTTTTCTCTCCCCGTTGTTTTCTTTGTTTTGGTCCTGGTCATGCCTTCACTGGTTGTCTACCAGATAGCACCATAGGCTATCTAGCTGGAGAGGTGTGCCTGTGGTTCTGCACACCTGTCGGTTATGATCTCATCATCATGTGGAGGTGAAAAGAAGCAGACTGCCAGCACTTTGATGGCTGAGTGTTTCGCTAGCATGGTACACTGAGCCCCTGGGAGCTTGCCTCTGAGTTTATTCCTCTGAGTTTTCTTTACGTAATTATCTGTTGTCCTCTGTGTTTTTCAAGTGTTTTCTATTGTGTCGTTTTTTTTGGATCCTCCCTGAGAGACTCCCGCTGTCGCTTTTGGATTAAGCCTTTCTCATGATGCCGTGGATGTTACCCACTGGTTGCCAAGTCCCACTTCCACCTCTCCTGTCGGATTTCAAGATTCTCCAGTTTTCTCCCGCTGGCAGTCGGACCGCTTCCTCCGTCATTGTCAAACCTGAACTTACCTGTCCACCCTCCACCGCAGCCTCCAGGCCACTGGACTCCGCTCGGCCCTGCCGCACTTCTGGAACCTGGATCAGACAAGTATTGTTCAACCTGGAATCTGCAGTCAAAACCCCCCAAAACCAAGATTATTTCTGCCAAAAGTAAGAACAGATTTATTCTTCTCACAATTCCCATTTCCCATTTTGCTTGAACTCACCATCTCTTCTCGCTGTTCCGTACTGAGCCGCCTTCTTCAGGAATGCCCCCCCTGGAACCAAATCACTCCATTATTTTTCTTTATTTTTAATAAATAATCTTTAACTGATTCTCTGTCTCCTGTGTTCTGCGTATGGCTAAAAACCTAAACTCAAACATGACAGTCACTTATGGAAACTTAGCTAAAGGAGCCACCTGCAACACCTATGGTGAGATTTCCATTGTTGAATCTAGAAATTAATATGAAAGTAGAAATACCTTATTTTTCTTTCAGTTCTTTCAGAAAAAGTTTCCTAGAAAGATTCTTCAACAATTGAATCACTGTGCAAAAGTTTGTGGTCTGGATTATTTCTCACCAGAGAGCCATAAACTTTGTATTAGTCAAACCCAATCTCGCCCTCTAAGATCAACTCTGAGCCCAGTCAAACCTAGCAAAATATGCTAAGAAAGAAAGAAAAAAGTTATTGCAGCAAATGTTTGATTTGTTTTTGCCCAATTACAACATAGTAGCTAATTAAACATTGCTATGTATGTAGGTGCAAATTTGATTTGGCCATAATTTTGGAAAGTTCACAATTTAATTCGTTCCACTGACTAATCACAATATTGATTATGTCTAGCTAGTATTCATCAACATCCACTACTCAGTGGCACTGTAAAATTGCTAAATTTGCTATGCAAAAACCGTTGATCGGATTTTTGCCCAACTTTGCACATACCCAGGGTTTATCAGGAATCCTAGAGTTGAATTTACTACATTTTACCATCTATTTTACAACCTCGACACTATTTTTACTACCAAAGCAAAATCGAGCCATTTTATCTGTGCTGATTTTCTTAATTTTTGGAGATCGGTTATCGACCGATATTCAGATGTGAAGTGAATCTTATCCCAATCTTTTCTCCCTCAGTAAAGGCATAAAAATCAGCCACTGTCCTCTTCTGCTCTACAGTGAGAGGGATTTGACTGATAGACTGGTCAACCAGGTAATGGCTCCATATGTACAGTTAACAATAGTCACCCCACTGTTACCAACCCAATGACTTATTTTGCTATATTTAGTGACATTTTAAAAAATGGCACTGGCTAAAATTAAAATCGTCAGATCAGACTTTTTAAAGATCAGTAATCTGCGAGAAAACTGGAATCGACCAATGTAAGATCATGGCCCATGTAAGACAAAATTCTATCCCACTTACTTGAAGATGGAACTATAATTTTATCTAGACTAAAACCTCACATATTAGAATCAGCAATCACTATTTGTAGTTCTTATCCCCTAACTCAATGATATTTGCTTTTTTAAGAAGATAAGTAAAATGCAATGACATTCAGATTTTACAAGCCGAATACAATATTGATTTGTGATTCAAGAATGCTACCTGGGATCAATTAAGGAGAAACTAAATGAGATGCAACTTTTTCAACCTCAACCATGCAGTGGTGACCCTTTCTTATATTCCAATGGAAAGCAAGAAGTCTAATTAGTAATGGTCAACAATGGTCAACTGATTTGATTGTCAAGCCTCATCTTATTTGTATTCAAGAAACTTGGCTTAAGCCCCAATTACAGAAAGGAAAGGCGAGGTGGAGGAGTGGCAACTTTTGTGGAAGATGGTATAAAGTGTTTAACAACTATTATGAATCAATAGTTGTTAAGATCTACATAGGAAATGGTCAGATTTCAGTTATTCATCTATATAATTCTGGCAAGAAGTTGACCATTCAAGATCTTAATGGAGTAAATGAACAGAATGAAGGAAGGACTGTATGGGGGGAAATCTAAATACAGATGCAAATGGATTGAGCATTGAAGAGTGCCTTGAATTAAATTAAATTGTGTTATTGATGGAAGACCTACTACATATGATTGTAATAGAAATATAGAAAGTGTTTTAGCTTTAACATTGGTATCAGATGGAATAGCTAGAATTACATCTTGGTGCTGAGTGATTCTTCAATGGGTAGTGATCATTTTCCTATCATTACGTAAGTTGGTTCTGAAGTAGTTAAAGAAGAGAAAGTACTGATTCCAAGATGGAGACTAATTGGGGCTAATTGAGAATTATTTTAATATTTTGTTAATAATCAGTGTGATAAACAAAATGAAAACTTGTTTTCTGATGTGGAGTTATGTAACTCAAAGATTGTGTCTATTATTGTAAATGCAGCTGGAACTTCCATTTCTAAAACAGGGGGAAGAGGAAATAAAAAATGTATTCCATGGCGCAATGAGCAGTGTAGTATTGCTAAGGGGAAAAAATAAAGCTTTCAAATTCATAATAGATACCATACCTTTGAGGCATTAACTCAGTATAAGAAAGCACAGGGTGTAGATAGGAAGACTATTAGAGCAGTTAAGGAGACATGTTGGAGACAGTATTGTAATTATATCGGAAGAGAAACCAAGTTATCTGAGGTATGGAGAGTTATTAAGAAAATTGTGGTGTTAAGAAGAACTTTTCTTGACCTGTTTTAGAATATAATGGGGAAATAGCTGTTAGTAATAAAGAAAAGGCAGAGTTATTAGCAGAAACTTTAATTAAAGTGCATAATTCAGAAAATGTATCTGAAGATATTAAGAGTTATGAAGAGATGATTTTGGCTAAGAATCCAGGAGTCATTGTTCAGAGAATAGTTTCAAATCAAGACCTAGATATGCCTTTTACTATGTGTGAGCTGAAAAAAAGCTATTTTTAATGCTAACCAGTCAATACCAGGAAAAGGTGGAATTTGTTATATAATGCTTAAACATTTAAATAATATATCCCTTATTGCTATTTTAAAAAAAAATTAATCTGATTTGCGAGACAGGGATTATTCTTGTGGCATGGAAAAAGTCAGCTATAATTCCTGTGTTTAAGCCAGGTAAAAATGCAACAGACACTTCAAACTATCGGCCTATAGCTCTTACATCTCATTCAGGGAAGCTAATGGAGAAAATTGTGACAGACAGATTGTCATATTTTATTGAAAGTAAAAATTGATTCTGTCCTTTTCAAAGCAGTTTTTGTAAAGGGAGACATATAATGAATACAGAACTGTGGTTTGAGTCAAAAATAAGGAAAATTATTTCCTAATAAAGAAATGATGATAGCTGTGGTCTTTGACATAAAAAAGGCAGTTGGTCCAAAAAGAAGTTGGTCATTCTTTTCTTTACAGAAAATCCTTCATTCTTTTCTTTACAGAAAAGAATGAAGGATGCCATTATGTGGAAGTTTGGGCGATTTAGAATATCAGTTGCAAAGACCCATGTTATTTGTTTTTCTGGAAGACATAAGGAAGTTAATTTAAAACTTTATAATCAGAAACTTGAACAAGTGAAAAGGTGTAATCATTGATGAAAAATTAACTTGGAATCAGCACATAGAATTAGTTCAAAATAAATGTGAAAAAGTGACTAATTTGTTGAGATGTCTTTCTGGACAGGATTTGGTGTCCTGCCCCAAGTGAAGGAGTTCAAGTATCTTGGGATCTTGTTCATGAATGAGGGAAGAAGGGAGTGGGAGATTAACAGGCGGATTGGCGCAGCATCTGCCCTGAAGTGGTCCGTTGTGGTGAAGAAAGTGAAGCTCTCGATTTACCAGTCGATCTATGTTCCCACCCTCATCTATGGTCATGAGCTTTGGGTCATGGCCGAAAGAACGAGATCTCGAATACAAGCGGCTGAAATGGATTTCCTCTGTAGGGTGGCTAACAAGTAGAAGATGGATGGATCTGGCAAATCCTGTAGATTGGATTTATTAATAAGTATATGACTTATTAGTTCAGCTACATAAGAGGAAAGGTATATTCGATTTGTCTGGATTCCTGCTCATGTATTTTTACAAGAAAATTAAGAAATAGATATAGTAGTTAAACAGTCCCTAAAATTGGATATTAACATAAGTATTCCTTTAAGAAAAAGTGAGGGGAAATATATTCTTAAGGTTTAGCAGAAACAATGGGTTAAACATGATACTGGTAGACATATAAAATTCAAAAGACTGTGGGAATTAATAGTTGTATGAATGGAAAGCGGAAAGAAGAGGCAGCTATATCTCGATTTATAATTGGTCATATTGGAAATCATAGTTCTCTTTTTAGAATAGGAAAACATAAAACTGGGATTTGTAATTATTGTAATCAGATAGAAATAGTGGAACATGTCTTGTTAGAATCTAAGTATTCAGAGAAATGTCAGCATAAAAAGTCATTACTGAATAGAGAAGAAAAAGGATTTTCTATTATCAATGTTTTAAATTCTGTTAGAAATCAATTAATTAGATTAAAAAAACACTAGGTTATTGAATTGTATTTGAAAGTATATATGTATGCGTGTGCTTGTAGGTGTGTATGTGTATACATGTGAATTTTCATACCATTAAGGTGTGTATTATTAAATTCCCTCAGAATATCATTGATGACCACACTCCAGTCAAGTAGGTGCGGTAAATGCACCTTAAGTTGGTTGCCATCTGCCAATAAAAAAACAAAAGAAAAAGAAGGCCTCAAAAATCGGGGACTTTCCAGAGCAGCGAGATAGCACAGAAATTGAGTTCATGAGGACTCAAGGAAGTTAAACAGACTTTTTAGCAGTTTCAGGTGGTTTAAAGCTGCTCAAGATAGCTTTGTGTGTGTGCAGCAACCCATAATTAAACAATATTAAAGTGTTTTTATGTGTAGTTTAAAATGACTAATGATCAAGTTCTATTGTATTTAGCTAATTCTATTCCAGATACTGAATGTTTACATAATAGATGTGAGGAGAACTTAATGGTAGATTTATGGAGATATTGTTTAAGGGTTAGGGTTAATTGTCTACTTTATCGAAGCTACTAAGTTGTCTAATTTAGTTTGCTCATTATTGGGCTGATCTGTTTCAAAGTTGATGGAAGAAGATTGAGTATATAGTACAGATTTTGTTAATGATTATAAGTTTATTTGTGTACCTGACAGAAACCATGTACAAACAAATTGGAAATTGAGCAAAACTTATTGAACAAGCTGGATGCCTGCAAATTTTCATTCAGAATAACAACATTTCAGAAAAAAAAGCCTGTATTAACTCAAAATATGATTATGATAAGTGTAACTAATAATGGTAGCTTGGCTCACCCTCTCAGAAGGAGAAATAGAGAGAATAAAAGGTGAAGGGGGTGTGCTACTACAACACCTCCTCTTCAGTTTTAATAAAAGATTTTTCACAAAAGGTCACACTCCTCCTCTCTGGTAAGTTTGATGCTCATAGTTTTTGCCTGCATTTCGATTCTCCAAAGTGTCCATGTGAAGGGATGATGCTGTTATCAGCCTTAGTTGCTGAATACATTTTGTGCCCCAAAGGTTTCTGACCTTTGACCTGTGCATCTCCAGCATACAGAAAGATGGATGACTGTGATAGAGGTTAAGGCTTCAGGTAAAAAGTGAAGATGAAATTAGAGTTCGAGACAAGCTTGCAGCCTGGAGGGACTTGATTAGAAATACAGATGAGGAAGACTTTTGGCTAAATATAATGGAGCACGCTGACCTGTGTTTTCTGTAGTCATTCAGCTTCTTGTTGATTAGAACTTGTCCAATCTCCTAGAAAAGAAGGACAACCTAAATGTTTTCAGGATATGTTTGTGAAACCTGTAGTGCACCAACTAGATTTCCTTCTAACCTCATTATCTGATTTGCTGTTGTCTTTGATGACCCTGATCCACGCCAGCATGTCATCCCGGTCTTCAGCCTGCAGCAGGTACTCACAGAAGTCCTGCGTGGTTAGCCTCAGGGTATGCTTTCGTTTGGTTTCACTGTAGGCAATGTCAATCAGGCAGCCGCGAATACTCAGTAGTGGATGTTCATCCTGGCTGCTGCCTGTCCTGGCGCCATGCAGCAAGGCTTCACGCTTGTCTTTGTAAAGGAAAAGGGAGTGATGGCGAAGCACACTGAAGACACGTTTCCAAGGCCGCATGCTGCCTCCTGGCTTCTACAGTAAAAACAACAGAGAAATGGTCAAAGTAGGTGTTGTTTATTCTATGTTGCATGATTTTGTCTTTTTGTGTTTGTTATGATGTAAAGCACTTTGAAATACCTTGTTGCTGAAATGTGCTAGACAAATAAAATTTGATTGATTGATAGACTGATTGTACGACATGGGCTGAACTGAGTTAAACTACATCCATCCATTTTCTAACACGCTTTTCCCTGCTGGGATTGCAAGGGGTCCAGGTGACCATCTCCAGCAGTCTCAACAGGCGAGAGGTGGGGTCACCCTAGACAGGTCACCAGTTTACCATAGAGCTGAGTCAGTATTAAGTACAACAATCCATCCTTTTTTCTTTTTTTGTGTAATTTGAATAAATTTGTCAGAGCGACCAGCAATCATCTGAAGTACAAATAGAACTTCAGATGAAGTTCTATTTCATCTGAAGTTGATAAAATAGACTTCATCAATTTCAGATGAAGTTGATGAAGTCTATCAACTTCATCAAGTAAAGTAATGTTACTTGACAAAGTAACATTACTTTGTGTGTGCAAAAGGACAAAACTTGAATTAAAAGTTTGAATATGGCGATAGGTTTTCATCAGAAAATATATTACATATGTCATTCTGCAGGCATTAAGACTTGCCAAACGTACATAAAGCCACATATACATTAGGTTCTACAAGAGCACATAAGACTAAGATACGAAACGTAAGCAGGTAGCTTACCTGTCCATATATTTTCAGGCACTTTGTTTTTACAAGGGAAATGAAAAAACACAAATAGACTTTTTTTGTTTTGTTCATTAAACCAAAATGAGAAATCGGATGATGACCTCTGTGTACTTTTTGTCTGTGTTCATTTTGTAAAATTTGAGTTTACAATCTGATAAGATTAAATATGGCTGGTATATTGTAAGTATTAAAAATAAAGCATCCAGTTAAAGCTTTATATAATATAATTCTTTATTTTTTTTTTCAAAGTCCAAATTCTGAGATTGAAGTTTTAATGATGACGTTTTTTCTTTTCCAAATCCTCTTCTGTAGGCAAACATCTATTTAATCAAGCTTTTAATAATCTAATGGGCACAATATTTCAAACATTTCCTACCTGGTGGAAATAGCTAAATTTTTGTTGAATATTTTGGATAATCAGTCCTTTCTTCATGCTTGTTCATGACATAACGGAGTATAATTAGTATGCTGACGCTATTCAGAAAAGAAACACTTACACTATAGGGTTTGAATGACTGGCAGAATGTTTTGGTCGCAGTTTCAGCATAATTTTAAACCAGAACAGAATAAAGACCCTATGTAGAGAACCTGGAAGTTCTCACTGATCCAGAGAGAACTACCAGGTCAGACCACTTGTCAAAAAATTCAATCATGACAATGGAAAATCAGCACTCGTTATCTGTTTTGTCCATTTTTGTTTTGTGCACTAAATGGGAAATTGGATAACGAGCCGAGCTGAGACGTTATCCGATTTTGGTTTAATAAACAAAAAACAAAATAAGTCTATTTTTGTTTTTTAATTTCAAACGAAAAAACAAACTGCCTGAAAATAGATGGACCGCTTACCTTCCCCTTCTCTGTGAGGATTTGTTTGTAGTGTAGCCAGCCCTCCTTGCGGACGTCACTAAAGGTGATGACACCCAGCTCTGATGTGGAGTGGCGCTTCAAGCAGTGGTCCTTCTGGGCTTGTAAACTGTCCAAAGACTTGACATTACAGGTTAAGAGTTTTAATGTTGTCATCCATCCTAGTTACTACAGGTGGTTACAATAACTCACCCCATCAGTGAAAAAGCTCTTGACCCTCTTTGGTAATTTACTGTTCAACAGATAAAAGACAAAAACACTTTGAATTAAACATAAATCAGTAAAAAATCTAATAAAATTTACCTAAACTATTTATCTTTAAGTGTCACGGAGAATTTAAGAACTTAACTCGTACCACAGAGATCAGTCATGGTGGAAAAGGAAGGGGGTAGTTCCAAATTGTTTCCACAAAGTTGGGAGCATGGAAATGTCCAAAATGTCTTGGTATACTGAAGCATTCAGAGTTCCTTTCGTTGGAACAAAGGGAAAAGCCCAGCTCCTGAAGAACGCTACAGCATAATACTCCCTCCACCAAACTTTTCACTTAGCAAAATTCAGTCAGAGAAGTACCATTCTCCTGGCAACCACCAAACCCAGACTCGTCCATCAGATTGCCAGATTTGTCACCCACGAAATGCACCTCCAGTGCTCTATAGTCCAGTGGTGGCGTGCTTTACACCACTGTATCCGAATCTTTACATTGCATTTGGTGATGTATGGCTTGGATGCAGTTGCTCCAACATGGAAACCCATTCCATGAAGCTCTGCACACTGTTCTTGAGCTAATCTCAAGGCCACATGAAGTTTGGGGGTCTGTAGAGATTGACTGCAGACAGTTGGTGACCTCTTTACGCTATGTGCATCGTCCCCGGTCTATCAGTTTACGTGGCCTACCACTTTCTGACTGAGTTGCTGTTGTTCCCAAACACCTTTCATTTGTGGAAAATTAAGGAGCGAGAAAATTTCACCACTGGATTTTGATGCACATCCTGCCACAGTTCCACACTCGAATTCACTGAGCTCCTGAGAGCGACCCATTCTAAAACAGTCTGCATGTCTAGGTGCTTAATTTTATACACCTGAGGCCATGGAAGTGATTGGAACACGTGTTTCTGGTCATTTGGATGTGTGAGTAAATACTTTTGCCCTTATAATGTATGTTTCTTGATCAGTAGCATGTTGTAGTATACAATGCCCTTTCCTGAAGATACAAAAAATGCAGGTAGGGGTTACCAGTCTTAGTTGCAGGAAGATGGACTTTCTATTCTTAGTGTCTCAGTTTTTAAGCTTGTAACTCACGAGAAGACTCGGCTCTCATCTCTGTAAGTGTTGAGTCCTTCATCGCAGGACTTGGATCGCTCAGTGGTGATGGCCAGCAGGTAAGAGGAGCGGCGACTTTTAAAGCTTCCTACAGAGACAAAAAGTACAATTCAGTTTATTTATACAACACCAGTTACAAAGACAAGTACTATAGCACCTGTTTACATCAACCGTGATCTCTGAATGTTTTCCAAGAAAAAAAAAATATCCATCCATCCATCCATTTTCTGAGCACCCTTCTCCCTAACGGTGTTGCTGCCTATCTCCAGCTACGTTCCGGGCGAGAGGCAGGGTACACCCTGGACAGGTCGCCAGTCTGTCGCAGGGCAACACAGAGACAAACAGGACAAACAACCATGCACACACACTCACACCTAGGGAGAATTTGGGAAGGCCAATTAACCTGACGGTCATGTTTTTGGACTGTGGGAGGAAGCCGGAGAACCCGGAGAGAACCCACCATGCACAGGGAGAACATGCAAACTCCATGCAGAAAGACCCCGGGAATCGAACCCAGGACCTTCTTGCTGCAAGGCAACAGCGCTACCCACTGCGCCACTGTGCAGCCCAAAATTATTTCAGTTAAATTTATTTCAATTAAAATTTTCATTGAATTTGTGGTAGATTACTTTAGCAATAAAATGTTCACTTCAGTTCAGTTTCATTTTTCCAAACAGCTTTGTTCAGCAGATAATTATTATAGCATAAAGAAACTGACCATGAATATTATTATTCATACACAAACATTTCACTATTCTGACCACTCTGCTGAAAAAGCCTCCGAGTGACATTGGATAAGACACCTATTGTTCTATTTCAAGGACTCCTGTGATTATCAATGCTTATAACGATGACGTTGTTGTGATAAATTTACTTAGGTCAGTTAAAACTCGGAATTTGTGGAAGATTAAGGAGCGAGGAATCTTGAGTTTTCCCCTGCCAAGAATATTTAAGTAAACTTCTGAACCTAGGCATCTGACTACAGGGCTTACAAAGGGTTTGAAAAGTTGAATGTTTTGCTCCTTTCTGGTTTCAAAATAGATATGGAAAAACATTCATATTACTTCTGCATGCGCTTAGTGCTTAATCAGTCTAGAGTTGATAAAGGAGAGAACAGGAGGGAAACAATGACAGACACCTTATTTATCCCTTTAGCATTTTCCCTCAGGGAAATTGCAGTTCCTGTCTCCCACACAGCACCCATTCATCAAATAAATCTTTTTTGTTTGTTTTTGAATACATTAATAGACCAATACTATAGATCCTCTGTTTCTGTTACACTCCTGTTAGCACTCCGTCCAAGGAGTGAAAAGTTTCGTTGCACGAGAGACAAAGGAGTTCCTCAGTTTGTTGGCCCTGTATTTTGGAAGAAGCAGTCCCCTACTGAACCTTATTTCTTGGTTGCTGATAACAGTATGCAGAGGGTGGCTGGTATTGACCATAATAGCCTCGAGTTTCTGCAATGTTCTACTCTCTGCCACTGTTGCCAGAGGCAGAATGGCAGCCAGCTTCTGACTGAACTCAGAGGTTGGCTCAGTGGGTGTGCCAACCTCTGCTTGGAGTGGTTGTAGAGGAATGTAATTATATTAATTGTTAAAAATTATATTGATTGGTTGATTCGCACTAAGGTATGTTTTAACCTCAAAGAAATGTACTGTGTCAAATGGACTGGGTCAATCTGACCTAGAAGTCAGGAAGGAATTCAAAATTGGAGAGATGTGGAATAACAACCAAAGATGTTCATTTTAAGCTGTTGTACAAGAAACAATTTGACTAATAGTTCTTCTGATGGAGGAGATTTAATTCCAGAAATTAAATTTTCTCGGAATTTCCAAATACACATCCAGTGTAAAACGGAGCCAGAATTGCTACGCAAATGAAGGGGAGGAACAAAGCTTCCCAATACACACCAGTAGAGCTGGGAAACTGATGTCAGAAGCAGAAGTCAAGGGATTTTGGATTTCTGTAACAATGTAAATGGGATGTTTTGGTTCTGCAGATGTGCATTAAATCTCTTTCCGTTTTTGGCTATGAGCAGAAAGAATTTGAGTCCCGTGTATTTCTTTATTGATATATTCCGTGAATTTAGCACCTTTAAATTCCTTCATATAGTCTGCCTTAGAGATCCTACCACACCAGCACATCACAGTGTATAACAAAATGCTGGCGACAACAGACTGGTAAAACAACCCCAGCAGCTTTCCACAGATGTTAAAGGATCTCAGGCTCCCCGTCTTATAGAGCTGCTTTGTGTTGCTTGTCCTGTCTAGCTTCTTGTCCAGCCACAGACCAAGATATTTATAGGTCTGCACTACCTCCACCTCCTGCCCTTCTAGCCAAACTGGTCGTGGACCAGCTGATCCTGAAGTCAATAACCACTTCCTTCATCTTGGATATGTTTAGCTGCAGGCTGTTTCTATGGCAATAGACAACAAAGTTTGTCACTTTGTCTTTGATGCACCCCATGATGTGAGTGTCATTGCCGTACATCTGGACATGATTCAGCGTTGTAACACAAGTGTAAAATGTACAGGTTGAAGAGGATTGGTGACAGCACCTCCCCCTGTGGGGTCCCAGTGTTGCAGACCCTGGGACAATTTCAGATATGATGTTATTCATCTTGACTACTGTGGTCTGTGATCTTGACTACTGTGGTCTGTCTGTAGCTGGAAATCCAGGCAGGAGTCCACTCTCATTCTGGTAAGTTTTTTCAGAAGTGGAGAGGGCTGGATTGTAATAAGGGCACTCGAAAAATCCAGGCATAGAATTGTGACGGTGCCACTTTTCTTGTCCAGATGCGAGTGGGCTCGATGTAGGAGGTAGGTAATGGCATCTTCCACTCCAGCCTCTCCCCGGTAGCCAAAGTGCTAGGGATCTTCAGCATTCTTTATGTGCATTCTGAGATGGTTGAGGAAGAGCAACTCCAGAGTCTTCAGATGTGACGTATGCCACCAGTCTGATGTGGCATACGTTCTTTTTAGGTCCTTTTGTGGAAGAAATCATGCAACATTCCTGTCCCTGAGTGTGGACGTGCTTCCAAGTTGCAGGCTCAAGTTGAAGACTTGTAATGGTGACCCAAGCTCAACAGCACAGATCTTGAGAATCTGAGGGGATACTCTATCCTGCAGCTTTTCGGGGTCGAAGCTTCCTCAATTCTGCCCGCATCTGATCAGCCGTAAGGCATGAAAGAGGCTGTGTGGAGAAAGAGAGAAAGCCATGATGGTGGAATGACTGCATCTGCTGGCAAGGAGGAAAATGCACTGGAGCACTGGGGTAGAGAAAATGTAGTGATGGTGGTGGGTGTAGCATAATAGCTAAACCTATTGAAAAAGTTATTCAAATTCAAATCCAAATTCAAAAATACTTTATTAAATCAATAATTTAAGGGAAATTAAATGTTGTAACTCAATTTAGATTCTTCAAAGAGTTATTGAAGATGGTGATGGCTGTTGGCAGGAAAGATCTTCTGCACCAGTCTGTTCTGACTGAATCAGTCACTACCTTCCCAAGACAGTCTCGTGAAGAGGATTGTCAGAATTGTCTATAATTTTATTGATCTATGAAGAATCTTTCATTGCATGATCATCTCCAGAGGTTTTACAGTCATCCCCAGAAAAGAATCAGCCTTCTTTATCAAGCTATTGAGCCTTTTTAGTTCTTGGCTATGATGCTGCAGCCCCAGAAGATCATGGCAGAAGAGATGATGCTCTAAACAACAGTACATAGGAGTCCATCTTCTGATGGAGCGATTGGAGACACCCTGCCTTTGGACGTGTACTGGGGCTGTCTGTACACAAGGTTGTGGTCTGACTTGCCCAGTGGTGGAAGAGCAACAGCCTTTTATGATAGTGTACAATAAGTCAATTAACCTGTTTTTTGTAGTGGGACAGCTGGCAATCTAGTGAAAAGCATCCAGAATGGAATTCAGGGTGACATGATTGAAATCTCCAGATAAGGGCTTCAGGATGTTGCAACCAAAGTTGCACAGTGACACAATGTAACCTTTCACAGACAGCAGCTGGCTATGTCAGAGACAACTACCAACAAATTTAACATTTGTAGGTCGTGTTGTAGTACACGAGACCAGACTTGGTCTAGAGTACTACAACATTAACCAGCATAGCAATTCCCACCATATTGTCCAGTTTATTTCTCAACATCTTTGTTTTCACTGGATGCAAAACATACCAATTCAAATCTAAGCAATAACGTGACTTACTAATTATGTTTTTTATTTACAAGTATCAAACTCTCCACCCATCACCTCCCCCTTTATCTGGCTCGCAGTACTCCAAGACATTCAGGACTGGAGCCTCAGTGAGAGCCGTTCTTTGTTCTTGTAATGCTCTGCTTACACAGTAGCTATCATTATTATTCTATTTATTTATATACATTGATATTTATTTAATTAGCAAATATAATAAAACACAAGAATGGAAGAGCACGCACAACATGCTCATTGCTCTTTAGATTGTTTTTGTCACCTGTCATGGTGGTAGACATTACAGCACTGTGTGCTGCCTGGTTCATGCAGTGGGACAAAGATCACAGTGCGTGCCTTGTGCTTGGTTATTTCTTGCTTGACACTCTTTGGTCAGTGTTCATAGCTGAGCGTTGTTTACCATTAGCATTGCCTTAATTGCTATGTTTAATGGTGCAGACAGCTGTGGTTTCAGACATGAGCGACATGGGCAAACGCCCAGGGCATTATCATTTTTAGGGATGTGGCATGAGGCCTTCTCGGACTGTAGGACAGAGATGGAAGCAAAGCAGAACAAAGAGTTTGAATTGATAATATTGGTTAAATTTATTTCAGTTCTAAATATTTAATATCTAGGTGTTTTAATGGGACTTTGGATTTTTCAGATCAATTTGAGAACCAAGTTTGATCATGTTTCACATCTTATTGTGTCATGTCGCGCAGGGCGGTTGTCTTGGTCTTGACTCGGTCTCAGCTTCCATCGGTCTTAGTCTCAGACCCTAAAAGTCTTGGTCTTGACTTGATCTCGGGTTAAGTGGTCTTTATTACACTATTTGTAGGCATAGGAGAAGGAGGAATTTGTAATTATCAGATTTGTGAGGTTGAAGTAATATTTGAGGTTGTGTGTAGAAATTTAATGCTTAATTGTAATTGTGTGTACTTTCATTTTGCATTCGTAATTTTTTTATATTTGTGTACGCATATGACCACATATCTACAAGTATCCTGAGTTACGCACAATTTTTATTTTACAGTTTACAAATGATGTTTCACTGATACAACTACCAAAAGTTACACACAAAGATGCTTACATAGATTACAAATCCAGTATCACACACGCACAGATATTTTGAGACTATTTTCTCGCCAGTGTACTTTGAGTAGTAACTACCTAGTAGCCTGCGCAGCATCAATTTCTGATTTGAAGGGTACTAAAATGTACTAAAATAGAAATTTTGTAAACAGATATATGTGTAGAATGTAAAATACAAGCTGTTTTGACTGAAGAGATCAAAATGAGCAACAGCAACATCACCATTATTTAAACAGGCAACACCTACTTAATAATATTCATTTTGAAGTATCTCATGTTCAGCAGCCAAAGGACTCCTAATTTTGGCCACCTTTACAATTTGTCATCTGGTGTATATTTAGTCCTTCTATTACTTTTAAAGTTTTATTGGAAAACTAATTAAGTTTCCTTTAGTGACTGTCTTTAAATATAGCATTTTTCTGTATGTGTGCTTATTAATTGTTTTCCAAAATAGTCATTGGGGACATTTTCTGGAACTTTACACTATACCTGTGTTATAATATCCTCTTGTGTTTTTCTATATGGTGATATCGATGAAATATTAAGAGTTAAGGGTTTTAATCTAAATGGTCTTTGCTCTGTAACATTTATTTTTTAAACCAGTCAAGAATGTTTACTAAGATATTAATTTATTATTTTTTATGAGCAATAAAGGCCTATGCCAAAAACACTATGCATATTGCACATTAATATGCTATTCTAAAAATAGGGTGGAGTTTACATGTTCCTCTCACTGCTTTTGTAGAAGAGGATTTCACCCTTCAGATTCTTTTTGATGGATTTGAGATTGAACAAGAAAGGTTTAATTAATGAACCTGATTCATTTTCTTGCATAACCATTAATAAGTAGTTAATAAGTCAAGAGCAAATTATCCACCTTTTAAAAGAGCAGAGAAGTATTTATCCGCTTTCTGATACTAGCCATGCACGAAACACATTATCCATATTCATTCTCTGGATTACTATCAGATGTATATTGTCACATTTTGAAAGAACAATTAAAACACAAATTTATATAAGTGTATTAATATTGTTATCAGAAGTCTGATCAGTGAGGTGTTTTTTGATGTGGGGATGAACTGGACCATCTGTGTTGGAAAGCTGAATGTGTTTTTATTCTGCTAACCCAAAGTAACAGGATAACATTTCTTTAGACGGTCAGTGGGACTCACTGAAGTGCTGAGAGTGAAGTCGGACGGGGGTGAGGAGAGACGGAGGACGGGGCCACAGAGCTGAACGTGACACCCGCCCCGCTGGACTCAATGGGGCCTACTGTGTCACACAGGCACACCTGTGTGACCCTAACTCTGTGTTGTATACCCATCCTTACAGGTGAACAACACAGGAGAACAATCACACACAAACACAGACTCAGAAAACACACATGTGAGTTTTGCTTAATTTCTATGAATGCAAGCTTCTATGGAAGCAGAAATCATCCCTAAAAGCTTCAGAACAAGAAGACTTTCAAACTGAATAAACAGACTTAGAAAGCAGTATTGCTTTCTAAGTCTGTGTTTGGTCATTGGGTGTGTCATTTCTGTTACTTCTGTGTTTTCTTTTTTAGTTTGCTTCAGTTCCTGATCTATTTCACAGGAACCCCATTTATTTGTGTCTCAGTACAAGCGGCCGCCTGCCACAAGCAACTGGGGTTTGAGAAGACAGAGCAGAGACATGAAAAACCACAGAGGTTGTTCGAAGCAGTTTCTTATTTGTGATAGGAGGTGCATTAACCTGCTAACATGTTAAGATCATGAACTATTTAAACAACTGTTAATAACTGAGCATGTTTTTCTTTTAATTGCCTCATGAGAGAATCAGTTGGTGGGTGGTATCATCAGCACAGAGAAAATGATGATCCTGCACACCCTGTTTGTCAAGATGGCGGCATCTTGACACCTTCCGTTGTTTAATTTTCTGGAATTCAAGAATATTATGAAATTGGTATTGCATAGGTAAAGGGGAATTGAATATCTATACAGTGCTGTGAAAAAATATTTACTCCCACACAAATTTTTGATTAGTGTTAGTTAAATCTTTCCGATAAGTAAAAAAACATTAGTATTTAACAAAATAACCTGAGTATAAATAAAATGTACAAACTGCACTATGTATTTAAAGGAAAATCTAAATATTCAAAACACCCTGGGCAGTTGGAAAAGGAAAGTGTTTTATAGTTAAATTGTGAACAAATTTGATAACCACATTGCTTGAAAAGCTGAAAGTAATTTCATTCACTGCTACCAGACAAGTAAAAGGAGAACAATAAAAAATACACTGCTCAAAAAATAAAGGGAACACTCAAATAACACATCCTAGATCTGAATGAATAAAATAAATATGAAAATAATTTCCACCTGTTGTCTATTCCATTTGCACAACAGCAGGTGATATTGATTGTCAATCAGTGTTGCTTTCTAAGTGGACAGTTTTATTTCACAGAAGTTTGATTTACTTGGGGTTATATTGTGTTGTTTGAGTGTTCCCTTTATTTTTTTGAGCAGTATATATTACGTACAAGATGTTTGACAAAAAAGAAGAGTCCCAAAAAGTAACACATCGTTCACCAAGCTAAAGAAATATAAGAACTGATTAAAAAAGCTGACAAATATCAGTCTGAAAAGGTTTTACAAGGCCTATGCTAAGGCTTTGGGACTCAAGTGAAAACAGTAACAACTGTCTATAGAAATAGAATAGAAAACACAATATATATACTTTATTGATCCTCAAGGGAAAATTGCTTATTTCCTGACAAGTTACTATTAATAGAAAGAAAGACAACATGAAACAGCTGTGAACCTTCCCAACCAAGAGCAAACTGACTAGAAACCAAATCAATATGGTATCCATGGTACTCCTTTACATTAAGTCCAGGTTGGTTTTCATAGCTTTTCTACTTAAAAGCTTTTTCAAACAGTGTTTTTCCCTGAGAGTATAATATGAGACTGATAATATGTGCAAAAAAAATGCACCCCTCTGCCTCCTCCCCTGTAGTCGAACTGCCACCAATTATACACTTCTCAGTCAGAGACAAAAAAATTAGAGCAAGGAATAAGGTCTTAATGCTGTCTATCATCCTTGTGTATGTGTTGCCCATGCTTTGCTCTCTGTTTCACTACACGTCTTCCACAACGGAGCCTACCATAAATGATGGTGGATTAACAGTTTTGCTGTAACTGAATTATTTCCCTGCAGAGCAAACAAAAGTGTGACAGACCATGCTAATGCCCTCTTCCTGGCTCTGATTGTAGGACCACAGAGAGGAGGCAGATTATTTGTATCATACTGTATATAAAGATATATATATAGTAACCGTAAAAAAAATATTTTTATAAAAGGTACCTATTGCAGCTTCAATAAATTATTGAACTTATAGAAATTAGCTTACTTTACTCAGGTTATTTTTGTCTGATATTAACATTTGTTTGTTAAACTGAAACATTTAAGGTCACCCAAAAAGCTGAAAAAGAATGTGGAGGTTAGATATTTACAGCTCTGTAATTATGGTGAAAAATAATAAAAAGTTCTTCAGCAACAAACAACATAGCTTCTGTTGAAGACTGATGATGCCACAAGACAATACATAAACCTGACCACAGATACTATATACTGTACAGACCAAAAGTATGATCTAGGACATTTTGAAGATTCTTCTGTATGTATTATGGAAAGTTGTGTGTTGCTCGTGACAGAGAGAAACCTACTAACCTATGAAAGGAATGGAGGAGAGGGAATTAAAGGCATGGGCAAGACTACCGTTAACTCTACAGCTGGACCCAGATTCTTGAGGGACAGGAATTGTTTTGGCTGCAGGGATCCAACCAGATGCTTCCGGTGATATGGTGGGAGTGGAGTTAGCCTGAAAGGGGGTCTGACAGGTAAACAGGGGTCTTTGTCTCAGGACCACCTCTTGAACTGGGGATACAGAGGAGATGACCTCTCTGTCATCCCTTAGCTGCTTCGTCTTCTCATCTAAAGTCAGAGGTGCAGGTGTAGACTGGAGACGGGAAAAGGCACCCTCTCTTCTGGTGCCAGACCCCGAGTTGAGGTGAGGGCCACTGTAAGCAGGCTCTCTGAAAGAGTGGGCCTGCTGGAGAAGACTGCCCTCTTTGAGGGAAAATGAGGGGCTATAGCTTCTGTACCCTACCACTTCCTCTTCCTCCAACTCTCTTGTTTGGGGCTCTGCCACCTGCTGAACTGACTGCATGTGGCCAAGTGACACAATGGGGGAAGCCAACACTGGGGGGATCACTGTAGTTTTATGTTCATGTCCTTCTGGAGCTTTCTGCTTCTCCTCTCCTCTTTTACTTGTCATTTGGGAATTTGGTGAAGTCTGTTCATAATGTTGTGAGACCAGAGCTGAGGCTTCTGCCAGTGTTTCCACGAAGCGGCCATAATTGTGCTCATATTCAGCATAGGCTGCCAGCAGACTCCCTGAGCATGATTTGCTAGCAGTACCCAATCTAGTGCCACAGCCACCTAGCCAGTAAGAGTCATGCCTAACACCTGCTGCTCTCTGATGATGGAGGAAAGTTTCTCTTCTGTGGTCTGCAAAGGTCATAGGGTTGGGTATAAATCTGGGCCTGGGTGGCGAACCCAGCTGCAGCTCGGCTAGATAGTTCTGAGATACACTTAAATGGCAGGGGGAAATGTGTTCTGCTGCTTCTGGTTGGCTGTAGTACCAGTCTGACAGAGCCTGGTGGTAGAGTGCATTGCTGTGAGCACGTGAAGAGGTCTGCAGACTACTCCTTCGAGGTGGAGGCAGCGTTGCAGAGGTAATGGCAGCATTATGGTTAGCAAAATGGAAGTCAAATGCATTCAGGCTTGCATAATTCCAGCCCTGGTATTGCCATGGTGGAGCAAAATGTCTGCTGGAATCTTCTGGAGCCTGTGGTTGGCCTGAGGTGGAGGTAGAGGTAGCAGGGGCTTGGTTGTCCCGTGGTGAGATGGCACTTCTGCCATTGTGTGGCCAGTTGTCCAGAGGACCAGGAGAGTTGGAAGTGGGGTGCTGCAGGGTGGAGCTCACACCGGAGGCCAGGGAACTGAGATGCGGCGGTTCCAGGAGGTTCTGGATCTCACCTGAGTACGGTTTAACACCTTTGGAGTTGACACTCTGGGAGTACACCTGAGGAGGTGTAAGGAAAAAGACACAATGAAAACCATAACCAACTAGCATATTTCCTTTTCATTAAATATTCTTGTTGTTCAAACAAAACTGGTCCCAACATACTTCATCTGAAGGTCCAAATTGGCTCGCATTGATGCTGAAAATTGATCAAGCAAAACGTTCTCTGTGAGCATTCTGTTCACAGAGAATGGTTTTGGCAAGCTGCCTGCCAAAACTCAACACCAGACTCGGGTTGTCTGCTTAATATGCAAAGTGTTGTCTGATTGGTCAGACGTTTGTTGTCATGTTTCATGCAGAGATAGCAATGTTTATATTTCTCTTCAGTCTGTTTCCACTATCTGGTTTTTAATTTTGAGGAACGTTTATCCTCAATGTACATCAGGAATTATGTACATTTGTATGATTCTTCACCAATTACCTGCAAAAACTGTTAAATGGCTGCAAACTCATGGATGGAAAATGTAACGTCATGAAGGAGGCTGTCTACAGACATTTCTCTCTGTAGCTGTTTCTTAAAAGCAAAACAAAGGATGCCGGGATAGAGGGGGAATCCTGGAAAGGGGCATCAGGTGAGCTGAGCAGAGTACGAAAAGAGAGAGTGAATACAAATCTCCTGAAACCATGTGACTGCGCATCAACTGTTTGGCTTTGGATGAAGTGTGTGGGAATGTTTACCTCCCCAACTACCATCCATAAGACTGAACACATTCTTCATATTTTTAGGCAAAATGCCACATAGAAGAAATGGGGCTTATCTTTTTTTATCCTTGAGGGTATTAATTCTGATTCAATATAAAAACTGTGAAATATGTTGTCTGTTTAAAGTTAAGGAATGATTATAATTTTGATTATCGGCAGTCTTTATTTACAGATTTCAGATAAGATAAGCCTTCATTCATCCCACAAGTGGAAAAATTAAGTTATCCTGGCAGGAACTGAACAGTACAAAATAATAGCCACAGAAATTAATAAAGATAAAATAAAAACTGTACAGTGTAGAAAAAAAATCTTTAGAAGGCATTCTTGTTTATTGATGTTGTCAATACACAACATCAAACTGCTATGCTGATAAACACATTATTATTGAATGAAACCAGTTGTTCCTTCAGCTCTGCTTACTGATGGCTTCTCACATTCAGAGGGTGGAAAGAAAATCAAGGCATAAAATAGAAAGGCAATACTCACACTTACCAACTGCAACACATCCTCATTTTTTGGCATTATAGTGAGCTCCAAAAGGTTCTCACTGAATGAAAACATGAAAAACAGCTATTAGAATGGAAATGAGAATGTACATCAAAACCTTAATATGAGATCCACACCTGTTTTGGATGAGTGTGATAACCTGAGAATAGGTTTTCCCCAGAATGCTCTCCCCATTAACCTTCACCAGTCGGTCTCCTGGAGAACCCACAAGCACACACATACAAAGAAGAGTTGAAACAGAAAAATCTGGTGGAAAAGTGAGAAAACTGAAAATGTGTTACCATTTCCACATTACTACACAACACAGTAAACTACAAACTGTGGCTTTAGATAGAATATATGACTAATGCTGTTGCCTTTCTCATTTTATCTTTATACTGCCTATCCTCTCTGTTTGTGAGTTAGGTGAGTTTGCCGGCCAATTAAGAACAGGAATACCATGGACCTTAAACCAAGTACTTGTTCTTTGGCACTTTGTGCAGCTACTAAGTCCTGTTGAAAAATTAAATCTGCATCTCCATAACATTAGTTAGCAGCAGGAAGCGTGAAGTGCTCTAAAACTTCCTGGTAGGTGGCTGCATTGACCATGGACCTCAGAAAACACAGTGAACTCCCACCAGCATATGACATGGCAACCCAAACCATCACTGACTATGGAGACTAGACTGGAACTCAAGCAACATGGATTATCTGCCCCTCTTCTCTTCCTCCAGACTCTGGGATGAATTTTCCAAATTTCCTTTGGAAAATTTTCTAGTTTCCAAAGGAAATGCAAAATTTACTTTCATCGGACAACATAACTTTGGACCACTCGGCACCAGTTCAATCCTATTTGTATTTAGCCAGGCAAGATGCTTCTGATGTCATCTCTTGTTCAAGAGTGACTTGACATAAGGAATGCAGCAGCTTAAACCTTTGTCTTTTATACATCTGTGTGTGGTGATTTTTGAAGCACCGACTCCAGCTGCAGTCTGCTCTTTGTGAATCTCCCAAACATTTTTGAATGGGTTTTGTTTCACAATACCCTACAGGATCCGGTTAACCTGATTGCTTGTCCATGTTTTTCCAACCACATCTTTTCTTCCCCTTCACCTCTCTATGAATGTGTTTGAACACAAAACTTTATGCACAGCCAGCTTCTTTAGTAATGATGTTTGTGTCTTGCCCTCTTGTGCCAAGTGTCAAAGGTCAACTTTTGGACAACTGTCAGGTCAGCAGTCATCCCCATGATTGTGTAGCCTGCAGAACTGAACTGGGAGATGATTTAAAAACCTTTGCAGGTGTTTTCAGGTAATTAGCTGAGGTAATTAGTGTGTGGTATCACAGGGCAAACAGCAATGCATGCACACTCACACCTAAAGAGAATTTAGAGAAACAAATTAACCTGACAGTCGTATTTTGGACTGTGGGAGGAAGCCAGAGTATCTGGAGAGAACCCACACATGCACAGGGAGAACTAATACTTTACTTCTGGATTATTTTTTTTTCATTAGTCTGAAGTAATATTCAAATTTAAAGGTTTTAACTATAAGCAGAAAATCAAAATAACAAAATAAAATAATAAATAAAGCTTGAAAACATGATGTAAGAAACTAAGCTATATTCATGTGCTTCTTTTACTGAACGAAGTTCCTGAAAAATGTTTTGTATGATATTTTTTAATCAAACTTAACATTTTATGAATTAACTCTCAGGCTCTTAAATATTCCAAATTTATTTCAGACTTTAGTTGGAGTGAGTTCATGCATGCATTTTACCAATACACAGTCCAGCTTGTTGAGCAGGGCCATTTTCTTTCACACTTTTCACAAAAATGGTGTCCATTGGCTCCAAGCAAGCTCGCTGACTCTCCGCTTTAAAGAAACACAGACATGTAACATTTCAGGTCAGAGAACTTTTACCCAAATAGACATAGCAGACCCCACATAAGAAAGTGAAATTTTGTTCCTTATTTTATGGCTTTTGTACGGCTCAGTAAGGCAGGTTTGGTTTAACATACATCTTTAGGAATAATTATGGGATGTGTAGCACAGTTATAATGAGGTAAACAATTAACAATTCACTGTATAATCCTAACATTCTGGATCTCTGTTCTCCATCTTTACTTGAGCCCATTGTGTTTAAAACATCCACAACCTTCTCAATTTGAACTAGGACATTATTGGGGAGTGAAAGGTGGCTAATAACAAAACCAAATCATCACACCAAAGTCCATGCACATCTGCTTTATGTGGGCCAACGTTGGCGGGCTCTGGGCACTCGAACTTTGCAAAAATCACGTTCTCAATAGTCTCACAGAAATCCCCAACTCTCTCAGAGAGCAGGGCGTATTTATACTCAAATCTGTCCATGTATGTCTATCTGGATTTCTCAACCAGTCCAGTTCCTTCTCTGATCCCTTGGCTCACGGTTTGCTGAAATGCTCACATCTGGAACCTTTCAACATATTTCTAGACGGATGTTTACAACAGGGTAGTGACCATTATTACATATCGCTCTAAATCTGATTTCCTTCTTGACTTCTAGGTCAGAATGATCCAGTACATTCAACATTTAACTTAGTACAAACCAGCCAAACATCATATTTTTTAACTATTAGCAGAATTGTATTCTTCTATGGATTATGATGGACAGGACTAAAACTCTCCTGTCTCTGATTAGCTGTTTCTAGATAGTACTGATAGTACTGAGAGAAGGCAGAGGAAATAGATTTTTCTCAGATTATCTCTCATGTCACAACATATTGACAGTTTTAACAAATATATATATATATAATTTAAAATTCCCTTCTCACCCACCGCGGGTGGTTCTTATCCTCAGAGCTCTGGTCCTCTACCAGAGGCCTGGGAGCTTGAGGGTCCTGCAGTATCTTGGCTGTGCCAAGGACTGCTGCACATTTCTGGACTGAGATGTCTGATGTTGTTCCTGTGTGTTGTAGCCACTGCTCCATTTGGGGGTTACTGCCCCGAGGGCCCCGATGACCACAGGCACCACTGTAGTCTTCACCTTCCAGGCCCTCTCCAGTTCCTCCCTGAGGCCCTGGTATTTCTCCAGTTTCTCGTGCTCCTTTTTCCTGATGTTGCAATCACTTGGTATCGCTACATCTACCACAACGGCTTTCCTCTGTTGTTTATCCACTACAACAATGTCTGGATCTGGAAGTCCCACAGGATCTTAGCTCTGGCGTTCTCCACCACCTTTGGGGGTGTTTCCCACTTTGATCTTGGGTTTCCAGTCCATTTTCTGCACAGATGTTTCTGTACACTATGCCTACCACTAGGTTATGTCGTTCCATGTACGCTTTCCCTGCCAGTATCTTGCCCCTGCTTGCACAACCTACACCTTGGGTCTTGTCTGGTGTGGTAGATCTGGGCCTCTATTGCTCTGGTGTTTAGGGCCTGTTCCTGGGCGGCCAGGATGAGGGCCTCTGTGCTGTCCTTGTCCAGTTTTTCCAGCCAGCCATGGTAGGATTTACTGATATCAGCCACTTGGGTTATTTGCTGGTGGTACATCCCATGTAGGGACTTGTCCTCCCATGATGGTACCTCTGGCACCTGAACCTCTGTTCCCCGTTGTCTGAGACATATATATATACATATACAGTGGTGCCTGTGGTCATCGGGGGCCCTCGGGGCAGTAACCCCGAAACTGGAGCAATGGCTACAACAGATCCCAGGAACAACATCAGACAACTCAGTCCAGAAATGTGCAGCAGTCCTTGGCACAGCCAAGATACTGCAGGACCCTCAAACTCCCAGGCCTCTGGTAGAGGACCCGAGCTCAGAGGATAAGAACCACCCGCAATGGGTGAGAAGGGATTTTTTTAATATATATTGAAGTTACATACTGCAGCTTTAATTTCACTGAGGAGAGGGCAGGTCAGAAGGGATGTGGGTTAGAGCTGCTTCTGACTGACTCCCCTGTTGTTAAGTGGTAAAAGGTACAGGTACAAGTTAAATATATGAATAAGTTGGTAATTTATTTCCTTAATTCATTAAATGCTGGTGAAATGGAGGCAAACAATATTCTGTAGCTAAGCTATCTATGCTGAACGGTTGATAACCTCACACAGTCTATTAATCTCTCTTGGAGAAAAACTGGGTAACAAATTGACACTTTTACCTTTTTCTTTCTGTCTATCTTTTTGAAAACCCACCTTTATTATTTTTCTTAGCAGCATAGTAACTGTGGCAGTCGCAGTGGTTGTCTACCACTGACACTGCTGAACACCATCACCGTCAAGCACTCAAAGCAGGAATGGACCATTTCATGCAGGGTGTATAGGGCAATATAGATGTGTGCTTTTTGGTCTGGGAGGAGTAACATTTAATCTTAGAAAACACAATTGTCATGTTCCATGGTTTTTTTGTGTGTGTATTTTGAGTTTCTGTGTCTTCTGAGTCTTCCTGTTGTCCTGTCTTCAGCCTTGATTACTCCCAGGTGTGTCTTATTTCCCTGAGGACCCTCAGTGTATTTAATCCGACCTGTGTCTTTTGTTCCTCGTCGGGTCCTTGTCTAATGTTTTTCTCAGTCTGTTGTCTGGTCAGGGGCCTTTGGAATTGTCATAACTTTTCCTCCACCCCTGCTTCTAAATATTCCCCCTAAAATAAGTACACTTATTTTCAAAATTAAAGCTGCTGCCTTCCCAGGAAGGTTTATTATGCCTTTCCACTTAATTTTTTTTATAAATAAATACCAAAACAACTAGACAAACAAATACAACAACACAATATCATAACAAGGGATAATTTAGAGAGACCACTAACCCCATAAGAATATTTTTAGACTGTGGGAGGAATCCAGAATACACGGAAGAACTCATTCTTAAGATGGATGCAATCAAAAGATTTTGATGCTGCAAAGCCACTGACCTAACAACTTCTCCAATGTGTAGTTCCAGAATATAAACTGTAGCAGACCCCCCAAATGAAAGATTGTGGCTTTACTAAAGAACAGCCAGGTTTATTGGAAGTTAACCATGAGTTTCACCTTAACTGCTGCATGCACAAACACACACGAAAAAGACAGTGTAAGCCACAAATCATGCTCTTATAACCGTAGTGTTTGAAAACTAAAAATAACATTCACTACTAAAGTACCTGATTCAAAAACTATACCCTATTTGATTTCAATAAAGCAATTTCATAATTCCAACCAATCAATATTAGAAATATCCTTATTTACAAAATAAACATACCTTGTGCCTCAATCAAGAGGGCTGCAAACAAGATAAATTTTTTGTAACAAAATTTATACCCAGTGTTATAAAACTGCTGCTAAGCTGCTGCTCCACAACATAAAAAATCAGATGCTCTCTCATCAAAATAAAAGCATCACATCAAAAACCAGAAGTCAACCATATACTACAAAAACAAAACAAAATAAAGGCAACAATACAAATAAGGAGTTTAACTTGGGGTTATTTACAGAAACAGATGTAGTTATTTTGTCCTGGAAGTTTATTCACATTCATTATCATTTACACCCAGGCCAGATTTTATCAGACCCAGAAAGTGTTAAGGTGGGTTAGGTTAATATATAATAATACTTGTTATTAAGAGCTGTATGGTCAAAATAAAGGCAACAAGCACCAAAACAAAATCAAGGTTTTGTGCAAGACCTTTGCTAACAAGTGGTGCCAAATCTAAAGTTCTTGCTCTCTAAGGCAACAGGACATAAAACACTCACCTTTTCCTGGTAAATTATCATTTTCTCTATCCTGTGGAAAAGTCAAGAAAGAAAGCGAGACAGAGAGAAAGAGAGAAATAAAGAAGAAAGAAGGCAAGAAAGATGTTTATTATTTTTAACACCACATTTATTTTTCAAACAAAAAAATACATTTTAACATTGTTCACTTCAACATTCACGCAAACAATAAATTGAAACTAGCTTTTTATCAACCACAGATCATAGAACATTATTAAAGCACCACAAATATAAAAATTCAGTTAAGTTATTAACTGAATTTTTTATGTTTATGTTATGAAAGTTTATGTTATGAAAGTTTATGTTATGAAAAAAACATAAACTTTGCTTTGACTTTACTTTTTACCATCATTGACCTTTTACCTATTGACCTTTTTCCCCCAAACTCCATTCAATTTATTTCTTCTACAAATATAAATGGAAAATTTTGCCTGTCTGTTACGTCCACCACATATTTAAGGACACACAGGCAAAGGATTCAAGAATACTAGTTTATTTTTAAACTCCCTTAATCTTTCGTTTTCCTCTCTACTTCAATTTCCTGTAAAGGAAGAAAAGACCCTTTTTCCCGTGTCCCAAAAAAATAAGTAAAGGGGAAAAAAAAAACATTCCAAAAGTTCAACAGAAAGGTGGACCTGGTGAGCCGGCCCAAAAGAACAAAACGGTACAGCAGGGGGCCAACCCTATACAGGGCCTTCGAAGCCCCTGCTAGTACCGGACTGAAAAAAGAAAAGTAATATACTGAAACAAAATAATCGAAAACAGGACAACCGGTCTCACCAGGCCAAAATAATTACCAAAATGAAGAAACAAAGGCTAACAAAATGCCCCCATGACAGGCTGGAGGCATCAGCTATGTCCAATGGCCGCCGAAGTCATGCGCGTCTCGTCAGGATGCATTCTGTCTTGGTGGTGGAAGAGCAAGTGGAAGAGCAGCAGGGCGGGTGGGTGGCTTCTCAATTGTCGTAAACCCAGCCTATTTATAGGCAGTCCAAGCGCCCACAAAAAACCAAATTAACTACAAAAAAGAATCATCACTACACTAAAGTCAATTAAACACAAAATCACTCAACTAAAAGGCAATACAAAATTATTTAAGAAAAATAAAAATAATTATAAAGTGCCCCAAAGTACATAACACCCCCACCCAAAGACTCTAAATGGGGATTCAGAGAACGAATAGAACAAGACTAGCGACATGAGAGTGCATTTGCCACTACGTTGTCCTTACCACGAACATGCTGGATTAAGATATTAAAAGATTGAAGTCGTAGAGACCAGCCCATCAAACGGCAATTTTTGTTACGCATGCGGTCCAGAAAAACTAAAGGATTATGGTCTGTGAAAACCACCACAGGTCCGCTGTATGTAGGAACCGCCTACATACACCTCAAAGTGCTCTAAAGCCAAGACCAGCGCCAGTGTCTCCTTTTCAATGGTGGAGTTCCATTTCTGATACTTGTCCAGTTTCTTGGAAAAATAAGAAACCGGATGTTCCACCCCATCAGAACCATCCTGTAAAAGGACAGCTCCGACGCCCAAATCACACGTGTTCACAGCCAACTTAAACAGCACATCCAAAGCGAGGCACAGACAACACCGGCGCCTTAACAAGTAGATGTTTAGTTTGCTCACAAGCAGATTGACACCGATCAGATCAAATAAACACTACTTTAGGACTAAGTATGTCTGTTATAGGGGCAGCAACGGAGGAAAAGTTTTTACAGAACCAACCATAGCCAGATACCGTGGCAGCTCAGTACAACTGGTGGGTATTGGCACAGACAAAATAGCCTCTACTTTAGCCTCAATGGGGCGCACTTGACCTCCCCCCACCCTTTTTCCAAGATAGGTCACTGTCGCAAGACCAAATTGGCATTTGGAAAGGTTAACAGTCAAATTAGCCTCACTCAGATGCGCAAAAACAGACTTTACATGTTCGATGTGCTCAGACCATGTAGAAGAACAAATCACCAAATCATCCAAATAAGCCTCACAAAATGATAAACCGGACAAAACCACATTCATTAACCGTTGAAACATGCATCCCAAAAGCCATCACCGTATATTGAAGAAAATCATCGGGTGTAACAGAAGCGGAAATTTTCTGAGCTTGCGCGGTTAAGGGTACTTGCCAGTATCCCTTCAGCAAATCCAGCTTGGTAACAAACTGGGCAGCCCCCACATGGTCTTACACAGTTCTCCGTATGTGGCAGTGGATAACAATCCGGCTTAGTCACCCCACTTACCTTCCTGAAGTCCGTACAGAAACGGTCCTCTCCATTGGCTTTAATAGTGAGGAGGCACGACGAACTCCACGCACTACTCCTAACAGCAAGTCCATGTTTCACCATGTACTCCACCTGCGGTTTCAAACGGCCTCTCTTGTCCGGGTTCACTCTGTAAGGATGTTGTTTAATTGGCTTGGAATCACCAACATCAATGTCATGGCTGAGCACTCGAGTCTGAGTGGGAATGTCTGCAAACAACGACCTATAAAACTTTATCAAAGTAATGACATCAGCTTGCTTGGAAAAATCAAGGTGAGAGAACAAGAGAGGTAAGTTTTCCAACACCTCCAAATTTGGAAACTGACCTTTAGAGGCATAACGGAAAAATACGTCACCTTCAGGTTCAGCACTGGACAGCTCCTCCCGTGCGTTCGCACCTGCTCCAACGCATGAGTCTGGTTGCTCATTGGAAACACAACTAACCACTTTAGTCAGAGGGGGCGTATGCTCGATGTACAATTTTAGCATATTAACATGACATAGACGTGACGCACACCTTCAATCAGGAGTAGAGACCACATAATCTCTATCTCCGACTTTCCTCTTGATCACATAAGGGCCACTGTAACATGCGTGTAAGCTGGAACCAGGAACCGGAAGTAATACTAAAACTTTGTCACCAGGCTCAAAAACTCTCATGGTTGCTTTTTGTCAAATAAAGACTTCATTTTAGCCTGTGCAGCTTGAAGGTTTTCTTTGGCTATCTCGCACGCACCGCTCAACTTCAGTCGAAAGTTACTAACATAGTCCAATAAATTTTGGTCACCTTTCTCACACAACCAGGTCTCTTTCAATAGCTTTAAAGGACCATGAACTGTGTGAGCAAAAACCAAGTCGGACGGACTAAACCCTAATGACTCCTGAACCACCTCCCGTATAGCAAAAAGTTGTAAATGTACACCTTCATCCCAGTCCTTTTCGAACTCCAAACAGTAGGTGCGAAGCATTGTTTTTAACGTTTGATGGAAATGCTCGAGTGCGCCCTGACTGATAAGCGCTGGAATGACAGAGCTTTATGTCAAGTTGTTTCAAAACTTGCGCAAATACTTTAGACATAAAATTAGAACCTTGGTCAGTCTGATCCACCCAAGGTAAACCAAACAATGAAAAAAACTTCGTTAATGCCTTCACCACTCCTGGCGTAGATATTTTACGCACTGGAAAAACCTCTGGAAAACGAGTGGAGGTACACATCACTGTTACCAAGAACTTATTCCCTGCTTTCGAGGCAACGGACCCACACAGACAACCAGCACTCGTTCAAATGGTTCAGAGAAGGCTGGAATGGGATACAATGGAGCGGCAGGAATTGTCTGATTGGGTTTTCCAGATACTTGACAGAAATGACACGAATTACAGTAGCGCGTAACATCACTCTTTAAACCTGGCCAAAAAAAAAATGACGCAAAATGCGATCATAAGTTTTCCTTATGCCCAGGTGACCAGCTAGTGGGTTATCATGCGTTAATCGCGAAATCTCTTTTCAATATGGGATTGGGACAACAATCTGTTTCACAACGCTCCACTCTTCAACAGGGGAGATATTTAAAGGCGTCCACTTACGACCATCATTCAAGAAATCAGGCTTATCAGTTTCTGCGTTGTTAAACAATGATATTAAGCTTTTGTCAGTTTTTTGAAGCTCCATCAACTGCTGTTTAGACAATGACAGAGAATTTGCATCCACCATGTTCTCCTCCACTCTTTTTGTACTTAGTGGAACATTTTCGGATTCAGTGTTGCATAGAAAACTGTCACTCAAGTCCAAGTCATCCGTCTTGTTCTCTTGTTGACGCTTAAGTGCTGCGCGCGTAACTACGCATGACGTGAACACGTCAGGGAATGTACAAGCAAGCTCATCTGGACACGTGCGCAACACCGGGACTCGTGTAACGTCAGGAGTAACTAACACTCGACCCCCAGCCAAGTCATTGCCCATGATCATGGAAACGCCCAATATTGGAAAACTAGGACTCACTCCAACCACAGTGTCATCAGACCACAGCTCAGGCTGGATCACGACTTTGTGCAGAAGAACCCCAATGTCCTGCATATCAAAACCACGAACTGGCACATCTGAACCAATAGCAGTGCCACCACTTAACGGTAAAATCCTCTCCAAAACAAAGGATTGAGAAGCAGCAGTGTCCCGTAAGATTTTAATAGGAATTTTCTCACCACTAGGAGACACTGAAACAAACCCATCCATAACGAAAGGCTTAAAATCAGCATATTCACAAAACTTTTTGTTTGAAGGTGACTGGGCATAGTGATTCACTGTTTCAATTAGAGCGACCGGTTTAGCGTTCTTTTTCTTTAAAACCGGGCAATCAACCACAATGTGGCCCGTCTTTTTGCAATAAAAACATGTGACATTAGGTTTTAAGTCCACCTCATGAACTGACTTACTTTCAACACTACTAAGAGCAGCAGGAAGATCTGATTCTACAACTGAAGCAGGTTTTGTTCCCACCTTCCTGCTATGTTCAGATCTGTCAAATTTATTAAAGACGTGATCGCTCAAAATTACCTTTATGCGTCAACATGTACTCGTCAACGAGCACTGCAGCTTTGGACACATCTGCCACATTATTTTCAGTCAAGTAGGTGGTTACTTTCTCTGGCAAGCAGTTTTTAAAATGAGTTGTACAAAATTTTCAACCTTTTTAGCAGCGCACCAACGATCAAAGAGAATTTCTTTATCTATAACAAAATCTACATA